TGTGTGTGTCACTAAGTCCATCAACAACAAGATCCTTAGGGGAGTGTAGAGTTGAGTTTCGTGCTCAATTCACAACAAGTGTTTGTCCATTTTCACAATAGATGTCTCTGTGATATATAGGAAACGAAGCTGCACCATGTAAGTACGATAGAGCTCCTGCAACTTCTGATGCAATTTGTAACCGCATTTTCAATGTAAGTGGAAAGTCTTCATTCTGCTTATGAATGTAGTGGGAAAGGGTTCCGTTCGGTATGAATTCGTAAACTAAGAGTGGAACTTCCGACTCTAAACAACAATCCAATAGTTGAACCACATTTCTGTGATTGATTTGTGAAAGAATCACAACCTCATTGATGAATTCTGAAAGTTGACCTTCATCTTTTATCTTAGACTTCTTTACCGCAATGATTCTTCCATCTGCAAACATTCCTTTGTAGACGGTACCTTGGCCTCCTTGGCCAAGAATTCTATCAATGTTGAATTTGTCAGTGGACTTCTCCAACTCCTCCGATTTGAACAACTTGATTTTCTCAACATTGATTTCACCTGATGATAATTGTTGTTGTAACAATAAACCACCGTTTCGTTTGAAAAACTTTTCCTTGCGTTTAATGTTTTTTATTTATTTATGACTTTGTATGCATACCATGCACCCACGAGTAGCAACAATAGTCCGGGACCCATGAAAACACCTACATATATAATATATACTTGGAATTATAATTGGATAAAAAATAGAGATGTGGGATAAGAAGTAATACAATAAAAAAGTTTCAGCGTTCTCCAACAAAGTGAAATCCGAATGTCATTATCATTCGAAATCATTGAAAGAAATAGAAATAGAAAATTAGATATTAACCCAAAATGTGTTAGCTGATAATTGCACAATAACCATTTATAATACAAACCTAAACCCCTTCTCTGCAACTCGTCCTGCATCCTCATCTTCTTCGTCTTCTGCTTACAGAGACACCCAGAAGCTCCTCAACTTCAAATACTCTCTTCCAAACCCAACCCTTCTCCCCACCTGGCTCCCCAACCAAAACCCATGTACCTTTAATGGTATTTCCTGCAAGCAAACCGGGGTTTCCTCCATAGACCTCAGCGGCACCGCCTTAAACACCAATCTCACCCTTGTCTCCACTTTCTTGATGACACTTGATTCCCTTGAATCTCTCACTCTAAAATTAACTTCTCTCTCAGGCTCCATCTCCTTCCCTTCTAAATCCAAGTGCAGCCCTCTCCTCACCACCATAGATCTAGCTGAGAACTCCTTGTCAGGCCCAATATCCGATGTCTCCATCTTGGGTGCTTGCTCTGCCTTGAAGTTTCTCAATCTCTCTTCAAACTCTCTTGATTTCTCCACCAAGGACTCTACTGGGTTCAGGCTCAGCCTCCAGGTTCTTGATCTTTCATACAACAAGATTTATGGCCCAAACGTGGTCCCTTGGATATTATCCAACGGTTGTGGTGACTTGCAGCAACTGGTTTTGAAAGGGAACAAGATATCAGGGGAGATGAGCAGTGTTTCTAGCTGCAAGAAATTGGAGCACTTGGACTTGTCCTCCAACAATTTCTCTGTTTCCGTTCCTTCTTTTGGTGATTGCTTGGCATTGGACCACCTTGACATCTCTGGAAACAAGTTTTCAGGCGACATTGAGCGCGCTATATCCGCCTGCAACCACCTCACTTTCTTGAACCTCTCCATCAACCACTTCTATGGTCAAGTTCCAGACATGCCCACAAAGAAGTTGAAGTTTCTTTCACTTGCAAGAAATGGGTTTCAAGGTACATTTCCTATGAACTTATTGGATACTTGTGCAGAGCTTGTGAAGCTCGATCTTTCGTTGAATAGCCTTACCGGTACGGTTCCTGATGCATTGACCTCTTGTACTTTGTTGGAGTCCTTGGACCTGTCCAGAAATAACTTATCTGGTGAATTGCCTATTGAGATTTTGATGAAGCTTAGCAACTTAAAGGCTGTGTCTTTTTCTTTGAACAATTTTTTTGGTCATCTGCCTGATTCTCTGTCCAAGCTTGCAACTTTGGAGCGTTTGGATCTCAATTCCAACAATTTGTTGTTGGCGAGTCCTAGTCCTATTCTATTTGGGTTTTATTTATTTTACCTTTTGTGTAGATATTATGTAATTAGGATTCCA